GTCAAAGGTCAAGAGTGGTACCAACCTTCAGGACCCTGACCAGATGGGTGGTACTGTTCAGTGACTGGACCTGCAGAGAACAAGCAGAACCAAGAGAAGAAGAAAGAAGACGTCTTTAGCACCTGAACCCAGAACCCACACCGGTAGAACCCACTGGTCCACAGTGTGACTGACTGTCAACTGGTCTGGACCATGTGGAAAAATCTGTAAAACTTACCAGCCGTCTGTGTGTGATCTGTCACCGCAGTCCGACCTGGAACAGACAAAAGGGGGGGGTTAGAGAGGGGGGGAGAGGGGAGGGCAACCCAACTCCTTTCTCCACTTCTACCTGCTTCTACTTCTGACTTTTTTTAAACTTCAGACTGTTGACTGTTTGCTGACTGTTTGTTGCCTGTTTGCTGCCTGTTTGTTGACTGTTTGTTGACTGTTTGCTGCCTGTTTGTTGCCTTTTTGCTGCCTGTTTGCTGCCTGTTTGCTGCCTGTTTGTTGCCTGTTTGTTGCCTGTTTGCTGCCTCTTTGTTGACTGTTTGCTGCCTGTTTGTTGCCTGTTTGTTGACTGTTTGCTGCCTGTTTGTTGCCTGTTTGTTGACTGTTTGTTGCCTGTTTGCTGCCTGTTTGTTGCCTGTTTGTTGACTGTTTGCTGCCTTTTTGCTGCCTGTTTGTTGACTGTTTGCTGCCTGTTTTCTGCCTGTTTGTTGACTGTTTGCTGCCTGTTTGTTGCCTGTTTGTTGTCTGTTTGCTGCCTCTTTGCTGACTGTTTGTTGACTGTTTGTTGCCTGTTTGCTGCCTGTTTGTTGCCTGTTTGTTGACTGTTTGCTGCCTGTTTGTTGCCTGTTTGTTGCCTGTTTGTTGACTGTTTGCTGCCTGTTTTCTGCCTGTTTGTTGACTGTTTGCTGACTGTTTGTTGACTGTTTGTTGCCTGTTTGCTGCCTGTTTGTTGACTGCTTGTTGACTGTTTGCTGCCTCTTTGCTGACTGTTTGTTGACTGTTTGCTGCCTGGTTGCTGCCGGTTTGCTGCCTGTTTGTTGGCTGTTTGCTGCCTGTTTGTTGCCTGTTTGTTGCCTGTTTGCTACCTGTTTGTTGCCTGTTTGTTGCCTGTTTGTTGACTGTTTCCTGACTGTTTGTTGACTGTTGGCTGCCTGCTTGCTGCCTGTTTGCTGCCCGTTTGTTGCCTGTTTGCTGCCTGGTTGCTGCCTGTTTGTTGCCTGTTTGTTGACTGCTTGTTGACTGTTTGTTGACTGTTTGTTGCCTGTTTACTGCCTGTTTGTTGCCTGTTTGTTGACTGCTTGCTGCCTTTTTGCTGCCTGTTTGTTGCCTGTTTTCTGTCTGTTTGTTGCCTGTTTGCTACCTGTTTGTTGCCTGTTTGTTGCCTGTTTTTTGCCTGTTTGTTGCCTGTTTTCTGTCTGTTTGTTGCCTGTTTGCTACCTGTTTGTTGCCTGTTTGTTGACTGCTTGCTGCCTGTTTGCTGCCCGTTTGTTGCCTGTTTGCTGACTGTTTGCTGCCTGTTTGTGGACTGTTTGCTGCCTGTTTGTTGACTGCTTGCTGCCTTTTTGCTGCCTGTTTGTTGCTTGTTTGTTGACTGTTTGCTGACTGTTTTCTGCCTGTTTGTTGACTGTTTGCTGCGTGTTTGTTGCCTGTTTGCTGATTGTTTGTTGCCTGTTTGCTACCTGTTTGTTGCCTGTTTGTTGCTTGTTTGTTGACTGTTTGCTGCGTGTTTGTTGCCTGTTTGCTGCCTGGTTGCTGCCGGTTTGCTGCCTGTTTGTTGGCTGTTTGCTGCCTGTTTGTGGACTGTTTGCTGCCTGTTTGTGGACTGTTTGCTGCCTGTTTGCGGCCTGTTTGCTGCCTGTTTGCTGACTGCTGTCACCACAGTATAAATCCTCATCCTCTCGTCTGTATTTTTCTTCTTCTTCTGCCGACGTCACTTACTGGAGTCCAGGCCACTTCCTGTTGGATCTGCTGAGACCACAATCACAAAGAAGAGAAACTTTAGCTGACCTCTGACCTGTGACCTCACTCTGCTCCATGTGTGGGTGGGCGGGGCTAACCTGTGTCTGTCACTGTGAGGTCAGTTGCTGCGGTAACCATGTCGGTGTGGGCGTAAATGCGTGTAACTGACAGAGCTGTGTGTGCGTGTGTGTGTCAGTGTGTGTGTGTAAATATCATCAGTACCAAATCAGTTCCAGTGTTTCTGTTACTCCATTAGTGATGTCACTTTAATGAGCCGTCTCACCTGTGACATCACGTCCTGTTCCAAGACTTGAGGGCGGAGCTAAAACAACAACAGGAGAGTTCAGTTTCAGTCAGCGAATCATACGTGAGTCACATCTGCAATGACCACACTGCACCTGTGAGGGCGCTCCGCAGCTCAGTGAGGGGGAAAGGTGGGTGGGTGACTGTGGGGAAGGGAGAGGGGGAGGAGTTAAAGTTGAGGTCATGTGACGTGGAGGTCATGTGACGTGGAGGTCATGTGACGTTCACCTCCGTTCAGGTCTGTCAGGTGAGTCTGACGACCATTTCCTAAAGAACCAAAGAACATCAGTGAGTGCGAGAGTGTTGCGGTGATCCTGCAGGCCGGTGTGTGTAACTGCAGCCACACTCACCCGTCTGTTCTTTGTCAGTGTCTGATGAAGACGGCGGTGGCGAGGCCGAGGATGCTGAAAGAAAACACAACATTAGTTAGGCTGAAGTCTGGGCTCATCTTAGGCCCCGCCCCCAGCTCATCACCTGGTAATGTCTGACCAATTAGCTTCTGACATGTTATGTCTCAGCCACAACAACAAATGTCCAATGCTAAGCTAGTTGCTTCCTGTGAAGACTTCTCCGTCCACTGACCTTCCAGGTTAGCAGAGTGGGAGGGGTTAAAGTCCGAGCTGGACAGAGACCCTGCTGGTCCTGACCCCAGAGCTGCGTGGTCCAGTCCCGACTGGTCGAACCCAACGCCAAAGTGATGAACGTGACCTTCGATGACAGTCGATGACAGCAGTGGAGAAGGTTAGCAACGTTAGCATGAAGCCGGGTCCAGTGTCAGCGGTGGAGAGCTGGACTCAGTACCTGCAGACAGATCCAGACTAGAACCAAGGTTCTGATCCAGAGAAGCCGCCGCTGATCCTCCTGAAACCAGTACATAACAGGCCACTCAAACGATCGCCGATAGAACGGATCATTAACAGAACGAAGGATTCACACCTGAGTCCAGGTGAGCGCTCCCGTCCATGTGACCTGTCAGAATACACACTGTTAGCGCCACCTATGTTCTGCCTGTGTTTGTCCAGGTTTTAGTTTGGTTTTTTTTTTGGGGGGCGTTTACCTAAGAAGCCCAGCAGGAAGTCATGACTGGACGAGTCCACGGTCCCTGAGAGGAAACATTCAGGTTACTTCTGTGATGTCATGGAGAGTTGATGATGTCACAGCCCTGCCCTGGACACTCACCTGTGTAATCCAGCTGGGAGAGGCCAGGATCAGCTGAGGTGGACGAACCTGAGGTGGAGGTGATCACAACGGGACAGGAAGTTACCCCAGGCCACGCCCACTCCAAGACCACACCTACCTGGATGTAGACTCCGCCCCCCGCCCTGCTCACCTGTCTGGGCAATTAGCCCCTCCCCCTCCTTCTCCTCCTTTTCCTCCTCCGTTGAGCAGTTTGTGTCCATGACCTGGAACACAAACCCAAACTTGAACCTCCTGGTCATCAGACTGATGTTTACCAACACTTTGTTGTTGTTTATGTTTGTTTACTGTAGTTTACTGATGTCATCGTTCAGTCGCCGTTAGTTATGGATCGTTTATAACAAGTTAGGGTTAGTTAAGGTAAGTTACCATGAGACTCAACCTCCACCTCTTCAGAACCTGAGGACACAGACATGAGAAGAACAAGTTCACTCACTCACTCACTACGTCAGGTGAAATATACTTCAGTTATACTGCAGTACACGTTTACATGAGTACTTCATGTAAATCTCAGGACTTTTTCATCTTCATCATCACCATCATCTTCATCATCATCTTCATCATCATCATCTTCATCATCATCTTACGTTCTAATATCAACCAACACATCTTCACCTGCAGAAACACCAGGACCTCCTACTGCTGCAGGACCTGAGAGCCCTGGAGACCCTGGAGACCCTGGAGATCCTGGAGATCCTGGAGACCCTGGAGATCCTGGAGACCCTGGAGATCCTGGAGACTCGGGGGAGTGAGGAAAACCTGATGAAGATGAGGAACCTGTGGCTCCTGTAGAACCTGTTGATAAAAAGGAGACTCAGCACAGCAGCTCCTCTCACCTCATTGGCTCCTGTTGCTGCTTCACTTCCTGGATCTCATCATCAGAGTCTGTGTCACTGGACGTTTCTTTGTCGGAGGTCGTAAAGACACTGGAGAAATGGGACTCATCGTCCTCCACATCTGAGGGGACTTCCTGACCAGCTGCTGGGGATCCTGGAAGAAAAGATGACATCATAACTCAAACATAATTAGATTTGTCATCACTGCACTGGAAGGAAAGTGGAGATTCTGGGAACACAGAGCCAGGGCCGGATCAGACCAGATCAGACCAGATCAGATTAGATCAGACCAGATCAGACCAGACCAGACCAGATCAGATCAGACCAGATCAGACCAGATCAGACCAGACCAGACCAGATCAGATCAGACCAGATCAGACCAGATCAGACCAGATCAGATTAGATCAGTTCCCCAAGTCGAACAAACAAAGTCTTCAGGAGGAAGAACCTGATCAGGAGCTGAACTCACCTGAACCTCCGGACACTGACACCACCGAGGTC